TTAGTCAATTCAATCTTAATCAATAATCGTAAACTAAATGTAAAGGATACTTGATACACAGTTTACTAAAACAAATAAAATCTTCCTTCGCTGAGACACTTTTTCCAAGCGAAACGAACTGAGGCCAGGGAAATTTAAACGCTGGAAAGACACAAAAGAAAACACATGAAAAATAATGGATCAACGGAATTAAAAACGATTGAGAATGTTGTATGTATATGATTAGGGAACAGATTGTTTCACAGGTCGCTGTTCTTAAGGTCTGGTACACACGTCACCAAAAATATTAAGTGTCATCACTTATCCCATGACAACTATGTTATATACAACTGCACTCTGAAAAGCCACTGATGAGTGTATAATCTCAGTACGATTTAATGTATCTCACAACTTTTAAAGAATCATTTTAATTGATTATAAATATTTAATACCTTATAAAATAAGATGAATATATATTTGCCTCTATTTTGTTTTTGTTTAGTTATATAATTAATTTTTAAAATACTTTTGAGAAAAAAAAAAAAACTGTATGTTATAACAGAAACCAGCACCTTTCAAACTGTTTTACCATAGATAAAAACCATATATGATTTTTGTGGATTAGTCGGACAATGCACACTTAAGTTTGAATAAGTTCAAGCTTTTAACTCTTAAGTGTTCGATATTGAGCACTAAAATTTTCTTTAAATTTAAAACATGCGTCACTTTAGTATCAAAACGACACTTAAGTGTGCGTTGCAACATTGACTCATAAAGTATCATTGTGATATTGATTTCCTAAAAGCTCAAAAGCTTTTGAAAATAAACTTTTTGTAAAATCAAAAGCTTAATAAATTTTACCGTACGATTTCATTTAACAGCAAGTGTTTCCGTGGTGTAGTGGTTATCACATCCGCCTAACACGCGGAAGGCCCCCGGTTCGATCCCGGGCGGAAACATCTAATTTTTTTATATTTCTTAAAATATTTGGAATCTCTGGACGTTAAATTTCTTATTACAATTTTATACTAAAAAAAAAAAACAATTGTAATCTAAATGTATAGCACACTTCAGTTTCAGTAGCTGATAGTAATGCCAACAACTTTATCATAAGACTAAAGACTAAGGACAGACCTATTAGGATGGATGGTGTGGATATATTTAATATATGGAAACCAAGCGACAACATTATAATTATGATTATTTCAGGACTTATCCTCTGTGCTAATAATTGGTCCCAACTAAACAGTAAACACTCTTATCTTTGAATGAAAGTCAAAATATGGGTTGTTGATGCAATAATCTTTCCCTGATCTAACTCAAACCAGACAATCACAGAGATCTAATCCGCCTTTGACATACTGTTTACTCGTATACCTTTTGTTAAATTGTTAGATAATTCCATAATAATCCGTCAGATAATCTGCCACTAACATTAGCTTCATATAACTGTACAAGGACGCTCTGTCGTAGTAGCACAAACCAATCAGATCTTTAGCTTGGTGGTTGCCTAGAATACCGTACCAGTGGCGACTTCTTTCAATTACTCATAGAACTCATTGTGGGTAAAGTTATGTTACAATAGGGTTTTGAACCACATGATTGCACATTCATTGTCAGATTGCATGCATAAAATTAAAACACGTTTCACTATAATAACATTTGCTCTCTCTATATATGAAATTGGTTACCCAAAAAACAAAGCTCTCTTTTCTTAATCCAAGAAAAGATTAAATCTCAAAACTTAAGTTTCAAATCTACTTTGCTTATTAGGAAATATTTACTGGTATCAAAGCATATCCTGTAATTAAATTCAGAAAATGTATGTAAGTTTGACGCCTTTTGTAAAACTATCTTCTTTGCTGAAATTTTGTGTTAAGATACCTATTTAAATTTCTTCATTAGTTGCTGATGAAACATGACTTAAGGTCAGCGTAAAAGCAACGCAAAAAGCACGATTTCAACGTGACTAATCTATAAACTTGGATAAGTATCTAATTTTACTAGATGTCAGCTCGGTTGGGTCGGTAAGAAAAGAGATCCCGAAGATTTTAGATCCTCACCTAGCCATTGATGGACACTGACATATTAGATGGAGCACAGATTCTTTCACTCCCGCAAAGCCACAACCTTAACAAAAGTAATTACAAGGTAGATTCAGCTTTACAGCATGTCTTCCTATAATGAAGTGACCCGCCAGCACCGATACCGTTGTTGTGAGCTGATTACATCTTAACTGAAGCATTTGACTGTTGCGTTTTTTGCCCAGTTTGTACCAGGTCAATCTAGAGATCGTACAGCAGGATTCATCTGCTAAAACTTGGCTTGGCAATGCTCAGATATTTTTGCTAGATTTGCCAGTTTAACTGTTGCAAGTGGGACGCCAATCTTGTCCGGCCTACAGTTGCGCGATATGTCCCAGGAACCCATGTATATGATGGCATGTTATGCATACAGTCAAATTATAATCGCCACTCAAATACTGTTATTAATATTGTGATACTTTTTGTTCTGTGTGTATATTCTTCTTCTTCTATTCAATTCAATTTTTCTTTCTATTTCTTGTATATACCTATTTACCACTCAAAAGGTTCAAATATTGATATTTATTGGCCAGTAAAACTACTTTGAACACCATATCAACCACAAACCGTAACTTTTTAAAGCTCCATTGTGCGCACTCTAATTGAAGGACAAAAATCCTGTCCTAAAAAGTGACATTTTAAAGCACTTTTGTATTTCATTGCATCTTATTGGACTCATACGATTTGGGTCAAAGCTTGTATGATTTCAAATGAGTAATATTTTTAAATAAAGTTTCTTTTTTGATTTTACAATTTACTTTTATTCTAACAATTTTCTCTACAAGTATTAACTGAAATGCATTTCCTACACACTACTTTATATCAGATAAGTACAATATATATATAAAAGTTTTACATAGCGTTCTTACACGCGATATGTAATTGCATGGTAACAAACATTATATATTATTTATAACATTATATAAAGTATTATAGACAATTATTGGTCGACTCCATAATTACTCAGCACTTCAAAGTTCATAGTTTAAGATAGAATAATATTGCTGACTTAAACTTCATTCAGCTTCGATTTACTGTGTATTCAGTGTAAGTAGTTGTATTATTTAATACTTTCAAGTATGTTTGAGTGCTAGAAACTATTTAGATATTTTCAGATATTATTAGTGAGACTATATATAAATGTATATAAAACAAACTTAACCAAAACTATTCAGCAATTATGTTTAACACGTTTTCATATAGACTTTTACGTGTTTTTGACGTCACTTATTTAATAAAAATATAAAATATACAATAGTATCTCTTTATAATATATATACTTAGTTTATAAGTATCTTTCATTGTATGTTGTATATACTATTTTACTTAGATTTCTTATTAACTAAACTATGCACATTAGAAAGATTTTTCAAGTTCAAATTATTCATCTCAGATTAACTTTAATAATACAAATTTTTTTTAACAATAAAATTTCTTAAGTTTCTTTCTTAAATTGCAATTATGACATTAAATGTTATATATATGAATTTTATTTATTTATTATTAAATTTAATTTTTTTTTATAACTACAACTAAAATAGTTCATAAAAGTTAAATCATTGTCCTTTGCCCAGAGGCACTTAGAGAAGTGTCTGTGGCAGATGTTAACTCTCTTAAAATAAGTCATAACTTAAGTATATTGAACAGGGCGTTATTGGTAGAATATACTAGGAATCATGGAATTATGTTCTATAGTAAACAATTTATACTTAACAAACTTTTCGATAAAACTAAAGTCTATAAATTGTTACCGAAATCAACTTTCGGTGCAATGAAGTTGGTTTCATATCATTTCTGTTACTTCCTCCTTGCAAACGCATTTATAGGCGTATTTTAAGGATTGCATCTACAAACGCAGCAAGATGGGAACAAAAACCAATCCATAAATATGCCTTTACAATCGTTGTCAGGATCATAGGCCAAGAGACGATGCCACTTGTATTTCTGTTCACAGCCGCAATCATTTTCACAACGTGGAGTTTGAGGTTTTCTGCAAATGTAAAAAATATATATATATACATATATATATAAAGAGTTTTATGTGTATTATATGTACAGAGTGATCAAATGAGAACTAACATATATATATTTTGATAATATTGTAATAATGAATTTCTCTTGAAATTCCTATCAAAATTTTTTTTTTCTAATTTTGCATCAAATTAATTTATTGGATCAAATTCTTTTAAAAAGGCCTACATATTCTCTCATCCTCTCTTTTCTCTCTCTTACAAAATATTACACATCAACATTAATCAACATTAACTTGTGAAACTTCAATTGCAAGGCCTCGAATTATATATAATTAAATAGATTCGTTTAGAAACAAAAACGTGTGGATATACTCATTTATGAGGTGTCATTTGTTTACTAGTGTAAACCAAAACCTTTCATAGTAATAAACAATCATATCTAATAACAAATGAATGGAAACATTTAAAAGAAAGGGATTAATCAAGCTGAACCTCTGTTGCATACCTCGCTACTTAGAGGCTATACGTTCATTCCTTTTATTCCTCTTTTTAAAAGAGGTTCCTTTCAAAACCAGTTTAAACTTCAAACCAAAACATATAATAGAAGAAAACAATCATATCAAGTGTTAAATGATTAGAAATATTCAATAGGAGAGGATTAATTGAACACCAGAGCGCCCCTTATATACCTCACTATTTAGGAACTATATATTCTTGGAAGATTAAAGAACGGCTTTTAATAAATTTAAATAGGTCAATAGATAGTTTGGGAACACAATAACGTATAGAGAGACTTATTTAAAAAGTTTCTTTTCAAAAATTACTTCAAACTTCATACCAAAATATTTTATAGAAAAAAACGATAATATAGAGTGTTAAATGAGCCGAAATATTTTAAAAGCAAGAAGAAATCGAGTCTTAAAATCTTCCATTGCTTATGGATTTGATCATGGATTTTGTCTTCCTGGAAGAATAAGGAACTGCAAATAAAAAATAAAAGTATAAAAGTAGTAGTAACATAATAATACAATAAATAATAAAGTACATAAGTAAATAAGTAAAGTTAATAAAAGTTTTCAACTTTTACGAACCGGGGAGCTACTTTTAGGTGTGTCCAGTTGCAAGTTTCCTGTCTATAGGTTTAATGTGAAAATATATATTCTAAACATATGTTCTTAAAAGCTCTTATTCTACTGTAGGAACTTTATGATCTTTGTGGATTATTTCATCCTGTTATAATGTGGTACTCTTAGGAATACCCTTACTGTATTTCATGGAGCTCTTTACATGACCTCAGTGTTTAATACTCTTTCGTTTCCATATAGATATATGACAATTGAAAGAATATATGTTCAAAGTAATTTAATAAGTATTATTTTTCATCAGTTTGTTATATTGCTTAAGTAACATTTATTAAGACTATTCGAGTCTTGGTTTTGAGATACAAATAAAAATTTTTTATTCATGTTTTCAAAAAAATATTTCATACTCCAAGGTTTGATATACTTGGCTATTAAAAATCCAGTTCGGCTTAACAGTTTCAATTTTATTGTAAATTTCTTTTATATGAATATGTATTCTTCATCTATTTAAGTAAATCGTTAAATAGCTGACGTTATCTACTCAATGTGTTAGACCAATGATCAATGTAATTGACGGTGAAGTGCCACTTTTATGGATATGGAAACATTTTTGTTCATTGGTTTTTGTAACCCATTATACTTCCTCATTATACAAAAGTGAGAGATTTTAAAGTTACAGTGAAGTTTCTAATACCTTTTTAAGAAGAGGAACAATTACTGTGTCTTTGGTAAATAACCCCATATGGGAAGAACCAACATCACATATTAATCCTCTATTCACGCCATTCGTTCATATCCACAAAATTAAAATGTTGGGTATGGTTTACGATGTAAGGGTATATTTGGACTGTATCTGTCTTGAGAATGAAAGTTAAGTTGCAATTATTATTAATAGTAAATGTTTCAAAAACAGTTAATTATCAACTTCTACTAAAATGAGTTAGAAGATTTCAGCATGGACTTTATAAGGTTTAAACAAAAAGGGACCGTATGACGTCTACTTATAACGTAATAAAATCATTGAGAGAAAATGGTAGTAGTCCGTTAGTTTCTTAAAATATCGATATCGATTACAGGATATAACTAGACTACACTGATCCTGCAACCAACACTATTTATATTACAGGTGAAACGAAAGCTGATTTAAAAAAAAAATTGACCGATTATAGACGTCCAAAAATGAACTTTTGAAAAAATTCAGAACTTACTACATATTTATAAGAAGACGTAAACTGATATCGAAGATATAAAAAGAATCACATTATGTTTTATAAAACTTTGTTTTTAATTTAAAAGGTGTATGGTATATGCTCCATTTGATCACACTTAATAGACTCATCTCATAAAAAAATTATATATATATATATATGTATTTGTATGTGTGACTAGAATTGGGGAAAGCTTACGAGCATATTTCTTGATGGATGGCTTGTTCAAAGTGCTGAGTATTCACGATTGCGCGTATTTTACCCGCAGAGTTCGAGGCCCAATATGGTGTCACTATTTCAATTTTCGATTCACAAGCATCAAGTCTGTAAATAAAATTGTTTATATTATTATTTAATTATTATAACTATTTTATTCTAATATTAACCTGCCAGTTGAAGAACCAGTGCTACCAGGATTACCAGGTCCATTTTGTGCAAAATTTTGTGAATTTTTATTTGAGTTCCGATTTTGATTGGAACTCTGTCGTTTATTTCGCAATTTGCCAAAATAACTTTCACCCGCTTCCTCGGCATGTGGATGAGTCTCATCATCTGGTATAACTGCTGGAAAAGCTCCTGGTGGTATAAATATATCAGGTTCATCTATAAAACGTCTTTTACGTTTTTTAGTTTGCTGTCGAGGCCCTTTATTATCAAGTACCATTTCGAAGTCGCCATACATACGCCGCATTAGCGCTTTATTGTCATCAATGAAACGTTCGATTTTTTCACTTAAAAAAATAAATAGATAAATAAGATATGATAATGATATACAATTAATAATTAAGCAAAGTTATATGATATTCACTGCATAAACAAAGTAAATGATTATCTTTCTTTTTAAACCCAAAGTTCTCTACTGCTTAGTTCAATAATTGATTCTGACATTTAATATGAGTATGTAATTAGGTTAAAAATCGAGGATATCAGAAAAACAAGGCTTGAAATAGATAAAAAAAGAAGAAGAGTATGTACTTTAACGCTGAACTACACACAATTTTCATGGCATGCCAAAATTGACTTTATCTGGAGGGGTAAAAATACATCCTCTATATTGTTCTGTCTATTTATTATTTGTCCATAACTATGCTATCCTCTTATGTTCATTTAAAATGCATTTTTAAAACAAATTATTGAAACCACTTACGATAATATAGATATCTAAAATAAATGAATAATAGCACTACCCACAAAATGGCTGAAAGTGGCCCGAAAGTATTACTTTCGCGCTTATGTTAAGTATTACACATATTTTCTTACAGTCGCCGCGACTAGAAACTTGGTGGTTAGTCGTACCAGATTCCAGCATCTCAAAATACATAAGGCAATATGGCTGTCACCTAATCAAACCACAAGATTATAAATTGATCACGTTTTGATAGACGGAAGGCATGCCTCCAGTGTCTTGGATGTGTGACGAACAAGCACAGCGGAAACAAGACATAGAAAAACTGCAATCACAACAGACAGCGCAGAAGTGGCGATTGTGTCGTGCCAGAAACAGCTGATACGACCACCGTAGAAAAAGACTCAGCATATCAAGTCTGACCGCAGGGTGGCTTATGGTATATTGTTTATCTAATCTTAACGACATCGTTTAGGTTGTAACGCTTGTAAGGGAAAAATAACGTGTTTCGGGCGAGAAAAGAAGGAAGTATAAAAAGGCTATGTAATACCTCAGGAATAATTTAAGCCCATTCTCAAGGGGGTCTGGTTAATTGCAGTACAATGCATAGGGCAACAGACTAGCTTTATGAGTTCTTGAGGTAATAACCTAACGCAACGTCATATAGTCGCAGTCAACCGAATTACAACCCAACAAACGTTACTATATTTTTAGACCTACATAATGTGATACATTTAGTTGACAATGCACTTAAATTTAATAATAATATTTTATATAAATATTGATGTATGGTAAATTTAATTTGTTTATTTATTTTTATTTATACAAAATTAATTCATATTATAGTTTTTTTTTATTAACAATGAAATTTCTATAACAAACTCATAATAAACACACACATGGGTTATATATTATATTTATTTAATGTAGGTTTTTGTGTTTCTAGTTTTAATATTTTTATTTGTAGAATATTATTTCATATTTTAGTATTCGATTCATTCATTAAAATATTTTATTCGCTACAGCAATTTGTCTGTCTGTCATATTTGTTATGAGTAGGTTAGTAGTAATTTTCGAGTTGTCTATGGACTCCCACAGCACATCAAGCCCACTACTTGTAGTTTCCATTAAATTTTGTCTTTAAATAGACTTCCATTGATTGAAATACAAATTGTTAATGGATCTTATTTTAATTAAAAAATTTAATGAAATATATTTTTGTTTACTTTAAATTAATAAAATATTTAATTGATTAATAAAAACTATTTTCATCTCTGTAGAATGTTTCCATATTACTCGACCAATAGGTTTCAACAGCATCGGTGGTTCAGTGGTAGAATGCTCGCCTGCCACGCGGGCGGCCCGGGTTCGATTCCCGGCCGATGCAATTGTTTTTTTCTTTTTTTTATTTAAATATTTTTAAAAGATTAATTACCTACATTTCAAAAATTATATTCGTGTTTCTTTTAAATGATACGACAATCTATAGAACTTTGTATAAAACTACCAACAAAAATCTATTATAAAAAATAATTTATTTAAAGACTACAGATTATTTAAAATGATTTGTAGTACGTTTGATAAGACTACCAAAAAAATTTTATTATCAAAAAATATTTTAATATTATCGTTAAAGTTTAACGGGAAAAACTTAAAATAATATATTTAAAACAGAAGAGATTTTACTACTATTTTTGTTATGAAAAATAATAATAATATGCCCTTTAGTGGGTTTCTAGACTTATTTCTACTTGCCCCCTAGATTTGTTTCTCCAAGTGCGATTTTTTTAAAGAAAGATAGTACTGGGATTATATTTCCTAGTCTTGAATGCTTATCTTCCATGAAAAACCGTCAAAGGTGTTTCTTCCGCTTATGAATCAGTAGAGGGCACTCTTCTACCATGTGGTATGCGGTTTCTTCTCTTCTTTACAGAATCTGCATTTTGAGTTGGATTGAATTAAGCATTTAAGCGTTGGATTGAATTAAGCATCACTTTTTTAGGTGACTATTCAATCTACAGTGATCGATTAGTAATCCCGAAATAACTTTTATGTTATTATTTGTTTGTTTTATGCATTCCTTAAAGCGTTTTAGGTTGTAAGTCTCTAAATGCATTATAGATTGTGATAGTCTTGGTAGATTTTCTCAATGCAGTTCTCTTTTTCTTCCTCTGCGCCGTTCAAAGATTAAATAGAGTACCTTAGCATAGACCGCAAAAAGTTTCTTGGCCTACGATTATTAAAGCCTTTTTGAAGGTTTGTTTGCTATTTTATTGCCTTAGATACCAGCATGTCCCGGAATCCATATTAAGTACACCTGATTTTTTCAGGCAAATATGTTCAATTTGTCAATGCACTCCCACATTTGGATGTCACCTATTATATAGCTGCCTGGCTGGCAATCAGTATTGCAATATTACAGTTTCGGCAACTATCTTCAAGGATGAAGCTGGCGCATCGATCGCTTATATTTCCGCTTGAAAGATGGTTAAATTTCTTGCCAATGCTTCCGAGTATCTTTTGCCTGAGATCAAAGGGATCTATATAGAATTGATGGATGTCCTTTGAAGTGCATTTAAGTGATGATATTATGAATTTAAGAAATGGAAGTCTCAATTTTTGGAACTATAAAAAAGATAACCTAGTACATGTCTAATATCAGTATTCCTAAAGCATAGTGTGAATTCCATGAAAATTTTCACTGAATTATATTTTAATATTATTTTCATTATTATTTTAAAAATAAAAATAAACTAAATTTAGCTAATAATAATAATAAAATTTAAAAATAACAATTTGCAAAATGAAAAATTATAGTCGAATTCTCAGCTTAACAAATCAAATTTAATTACTCATTTTATTTTGTCTCCATTAGGTTCCAAATATATTTGTCAGGGTCAAAGAACTTTCAAAAATATTTATTATTTTGACATAAAAATTATATGAAGTAGAAACAGTCAATGTCTAAGATGTTGACGATTGTTCTTAGAATTTTGTGGAATTCTGAATTTAGTACAAATGAACAATCTATTTTTACTAATGTTTTTTTTTCAAAATTGCAGCAAGTATAATCATTAAATAAAATAATATATAGGAAACCAGTTATTTTGTTTTTTTTTAAAGAGAATGTAAAATACTTTAGATCTAATTCAAACGCTTCAAACGAAAGTAAAAGTCAACAATTTTCAGCTCACATTTTGCAGATCAAGTAAAAATTTTTAGTAAAAATGTTAACCCTTCTTTATTCCTAAAGGTTTAAAAAAAACATAATTTACTTTCTATATCTTTTCTTGTAACTATATAATAAGAAACTGTCTTATACACATTATTATATACATTATTGAAAGAATTAATGTTAAGGTCAGGTGACCAACGATATGAAGGCACTTCGTACTACCCTACTGGCGACAGTAAGCCACTGATCGAGAAGCTACTGAATTCAGCCAAGGCGAATCACGTCTGTGATAGCCAACTATTATAATAATACATTTTCTCTGTGAATGCTCGGCTTTGGCATCCAGAAGATATAGGTTCTTATGAAGATACTACTTTGATAGTTTATCAGACTGTTTATCGGTGAAGGGGAAAGACCTATTAAATTATTTAAAAAATTCAAAAAAAGATTTGGATAAAGATTTAGTCTCTTCCCTTATATACTAAGTTCTATATATACTAGATTCTACACTAGGTTCGCTAATTGAGGTACATGAAAGTCATCTAATGGCGTGGCAAAAGAGTGCTTTGTATGGGCCATGAAAGAAGAATGTCTTCATCACCATACCACGTACATTACAGGAACCGAAATACATAGGCAATATACATCAAATCTGATATAAAATGTGACAAGAAGAACCCATGAGTGCACAAATTCAATTGGCGAATTATAACCGACAGCATTTTCTTTACCCAGTGTAAAAGATTATATATATTAAGCTTTAGTTTGACAATTAATTTTTCATAAAATTATAAATAAATATATTTTTCCAAAACGAAATCATTATTGAATTATCCAAATCTACATATCTCTGTATTTTACTTACATAGGGTAACTGTTGCCCGCCGTTGGGCAGAATAACTGATGGAACCGTTTTATGCATGGCACGCCCTTTATTATGTCACCGCGTACATCGAGACCTAAAGCTACAGAGAGCGCTGTCCACCAAATCTGAAATAAAATAATTATTAATACAAATTATTCATCAAAAGATCAATAAAGAATAATACATATATAAAATACATGACTAATAGTAATATTTATTATTATTTGGATTGCAAATTATTTATTACTTTAGGAAATTCAACGGAATTTCCCGGAAATTTCCGACTACACTTACAAATTTGTATCTGTTTAAAATGTGAAAATATAATGCCCCAAGTGCAATCTATTAAGCTACGTAAAAAGGTACATGTGTACTACAGCCAGCATTCATGACCTTTCAGTATGTGCCCTTAGATATGTAGATAAATGAAAATATCCGAAATAATCATCTGTCAGAAATTATAATAAGAAAATATTATATACCAATTGCATTGAAATTCACTATACTCTTTTCTCAAAAAGTATCCGGAACTTGCAGTTCAATTTTAACAAATTCAAGTTCTAAATTTATTCCTAAATTAGGAGCCTTAATTCTTTTTATGGATGTAGTTGAACCTAAGTTCAACTTATGTGACATTTTTCATAGAAAAATATTGCTAGAAATTCAATGGACATTGTATTGATTTTATTTGCTTGTGTAGAGATTATATTTAAAGAACATCAAATTTAATTCGAAAAGTTAGTTATCAAAAAAAATAACAAATTTTCCACCTCTTACTAATGACATCTGAAAATATTTTTCATATATTTACGTAGAGTTGTAATGAATAGCAGACAATAACTAAGCCCCGAAGTCATTGGTATGTATTGGCTAGTAAGTATCGCAAGTTGAACCCAACTGAAGTTCCGGAGTAGTAAGTCATATGGATAATAAGCAAGCAAGTACAATAATTTGAATCCAGACGATGAAGTGCGAACACATCTAAACACAATGAAGCTACTACAATAATTTCAACTACTCATAGTGAGTGTAATATCCCTGATTTCATTCCAAAAAAAGTTGGTGAGTCGTCAAGTTCAAAGATCTAATTCCGAATTTCTATTTCTAAAATTGTAAAAATTGTCTCTCCAGTCCGAGACGTGTGTGGGTCAACCGATCTCCGTATAATATTTACTGTTCGCAATGGAAAAGAATACAACAATCTTTCTCAGAAATGATACTACAACAAGGACTATAAAGACACTGAATTTCTTTGGATGAATTTTATTTTAATTATATTTGTAAACAAATTAGAAAATTACAATAATATTATTCTCTATTCCGTCTGTCTTCTTTTTTGGCTGGTGCACGACCTAAGGTATTTGTTTTCATTTGGACCTATCTATGAATTTTTAGAGGTATATCCCTCCTTTCATGTATGAAAATATCAATAGTTTACTATTGTATCATTACAATTTACATTCAGCAATAGAAACTCAAGCATAATTGATTTAAAACATAGGTCACTTGTTTTTCTAGGAAGTTCGGGAGTACATTATTTAACCATCTAGAGAGCTATATTAAATAATATACATTTAACGGATATATATTACTATAAGTCATTGTTTATTTCAAAAAAGCTACTAAAAAAGCTACTCGCTTCCCAATTTTATATTTAAAAGTAGTAGATAACACAAAACTAACTGCTAAAATTATTTAATAATCTTCCACGCAACTTCTTTAGTCGTAGGCCTCATCCACTACCCTACATGAAAATAACCTTAGAAAAGGTATTGACAATTACTGTCAATTTAATAAATAGAAGTTGGGTTTCTGACTTCAAACAATTTAACAGTTAAATGTAAAAAGACGCTCGAGTCAAAAATTCTTCGGATATACAATGATCTCGTATGTGTTGGCAACGAGTATCGGTTGCGATCGATTTATGATCTGTATGACCTATATCTCAACATTGTTCACATAGTTAAGCGTATTAAAATTCATTAGCTATGTTGAAATTGTTTAAGCTAGAAAGAGTTTAAACCCACTATTTTCTTGTGGAAAATGTGAAAGAGGATAAGCGCATCTTCGGAAGAAGGGTCAGGTGTCAAATGTTCTATAATCACACAGCTGGACCAATTAATGACATCAAGCCACTGATTAAGGCTGATAGTCGTCAGAGGTTGCTAAAAACGTACTATACTTATTAATTAGATATAAATATGTGACCGAATAGAGTTTTTTTTATTTATCATTAGTTTTTAAATTAGTTGAGCAGGGCTTAAGTTAGGTTAGATAACTTGCAGTGGGGAAAAGCATGAATCGTCCTCACATAATTAGCTAAGAAACTCATTATAATTTCATAATTTCTCGAAATAATATTATAGTAGGCCATCTTAATTCTGTATTTATTCATAAAATAACTATTTAAAAATGTAGATTCAAAAATGAATATCATAGTAAAATAAAAATTCACGGATATAATTCAAAATTAGTTTTTATTTAAAACCTTCAGTAATTTCCTTGAACTAATTCCAGTTAATATGGATGCTCAAAATCTTGAGAGTGTAAATAATGCTTCAATTGAAGAGGAAAAAAACCGTCTTATCGAATTAAACACAGCATTTTGTACACAACTTGTTGAGTCTTGTGTAAGGCAAGAAGAATACTGCGAAAGAATGAAGTTTTGCCCGGAACGTGACTATATGGATTCTGTGCTTGAAGTTCGCAGTCGTAACGTTGGTCCGGTAATTGCAGCAACAAAGTTTGATTTCCTTGACAATGAGGTTTTGAAACTGAAAGACTTCTTGTTCAACACAACTAAAGTAGACAATGGTTTCTTTCCTGCGGAAGATGGCAGCAGCAGTGGTTCCTTCAAATTATCCAAAAAACTGTGTGATATAATGTCTGGCCGTATACTTCCACTTACATTGAAGAAAAAATTTTGCACCAAAGACGTTGACAAAGAGGGAAAAGAAGGTAATTAGTGGGTTTCGCATAATGGATAATGCATCTCTGCTCGGCACTTTATAAAGGTACAAAAAAATATATATTTTGTTATGGACTTGTGAATAAATATAAAGTACATAAAATCTTGTTTCAGTTTGTGTATATTAGAAGTAATAGAACTGTTACATACCATAACTGTTCAACGACCCACCAAAACACATTTTACGCTCGCACATCGCTACATTATTATTGCAATATAAATACAATATATATATAATATATACATCGAACATGTAAATTATATCGGGGGTAAAAGAAAGAGTTCCGACTTTGGTTCACCAAAGATATTTAAATGCTCACAAAACTACTAAACGTGAGGTGTTAGACTTAATAGATGATGTTTTGAGGTCACTCATCAAGCCTAAAGTTTGTAAAAATTATATTTTTTTTATTAACCTCTAACTATAATAACTAAGCTTTTTGTAATCTTCACCTTATTAGCGGTCAAAAATCATTAAAATTGGTAAACAATTATCTAAATAATCACCAATAGAATGAATTATATTAGGGGTTCATTAATATGTTCAGTCGGAAATGAAATGTAACGGAAAATAAACAACTCTCTAATTCTAAACTCTCTACAATGTTATCGATCTTTTACCGGTTATCAGACTCTCTGCGGGATAGGGGCTAGAAAATTCCCGACGTAAAACCTGCCCTTATAAAGAAGAGATTAAAATCCAGTAGACAACACAATGTTATTTGGAGTGCAAATGGCAAAAATCAAAATTTTCTTGCAGCATCCCACCGTAGATAAGAAGTAGTACTATGCGATAGCCAATAATTTCAGCTGTCCTAACCAATAGAAGTTGACTCCTTTAGTGGGACGATCGTAATGTTGTGGTTAAAGTCTGAAGTTACGTGATTAAGTAACTGCATTTATTTACTTTTATTCGTTATGGGGTAGCACATTCCCACTGTTTAAATGGGCGTCGTTTTTTCACAAAAAGGAAACTATAATCAGTCTATTGGTACCGGTAAAATTTCTTGGAATCCTAATGGGAATGTTTGTCGGTGCATTATACTGGTACATGTATTAAGAATACCATTGTGTCAAGCCTTAATAGCAGCTAATCACCTTTAAAATAGCGCTTTAAAAAAGCGCACTGAACTTTCAGTTTTCAAAACCTTCAGTCATTAATCAATAGGCTAATTTCTTGATATCCCAAATAAAAGAGAATTATAAATCTCACACACTGATCACTTTTGACTTTCTCGGTGTTTTATACATTGTTTGTGAAATTTAACAATGGTGCTTAGTCATTGTCTCTGAGGTTCTTCCAAACGCTTAAACCGATATAATCGACTCAATAACGAAAAACCTTTGGGCGGTACCTGCATTCTTTCTTTTACATAAGAATGAAGCATCTTTAGCATTTCTGTTTCACATTTATCCAATTAAAAAAAATCTTATACGTCTTTATTGTATTCACTTAATTATTGTCCGTAAGTTATTATTATTCCATACTCCATTAGGAACTTAAAGATTTAACAAAAGTTTTCCAACAGCTTCTATTTCGTGCCATTTGTTGCAATTCGTTAAACTATTTGCCAGTTTTGTGATGTACTACCTTCCTCTAGTTCACTTTAGGTTTGATCCTACGTCGTGTTCTTTGAGAATCCCAGATTAGCGCAGTGTACCTGATGTTATCATAGAATGTACGTAATATATGTCCTATTCAGCAATATTTTCGACTTCGTATATCATCGTTTGTATTTATTTGACATGTGAGCCTCCATTATTCTTGGTTTCGTTTTGGGCTACCATATCCGAAGTATATACACAGACAGACATTAAAAGTTTTTATTTTTAAGTCTATGTGGAGGTTTTAAGTCTGACGAATAATCCACGCGATTTTTTTTTTCAAGTATTTATATACTTTTCTCCAACTCCAACTATCGAAAGAACAAAGTACATAAAATTTTCGGTATTACCGACATTTCAGGAATCAATATGTAAAGGTCATATATTATATACATGTAGTTTTTCGACGATTCTTAATGTATTTAATTGAGTTTTGATATCATGTGTTGGTTGGTATGCGAGACAATATCATCTGTATGGGCCAAGTCCTCAAGTCTCCAATTTATGACCCAATTTTATAAGTCAAAATCTCAAGCACCCAGTTCACAACTA